CCAAAAAACATTAAAAAGCATATGCCCGAAAAAAAAAAATGTTGTGTAGAATTGCAATACAAACGACTTTTACCTGAGGGTCACATTAAAATTCCGACGGCCATACGCCATAGATGTACCTCCACATCTGCGAGCGTACCCAGTGTTCCACGCCTCCAAGCTGTTGCCTTGTAATTAGATTCTCATTCCCCTTACAGAGTATGGACGGTAGGTACAACATTGCATGTGACACATACCGATCAGGCAGAAGGGGACGGCCACAATTACAGTTCGAAGTTCATTGGCAATACCAGCGATTACAGGAGGACCGTCAGTTTCCCAAGAACGAAATAATGGAGGATAAATTCTCTCACTATCCCAAAGTCTCAGACTTCCATGTAACTTATGTAGGCCCTGTCTGTACGATAGGTCCAGCAGGTTGCATAAACCAGTAGGCCTCGTCCATTACAGGTTTGGCGTCTATCGGTCTGTCGGTACACAGCTCACTCCCAAGACAGACATTGAAGTCTGGATGCATCGGAAACCGACTGCAGCCGGCAAGAAAGGGTACCGGTTTGGAAAAGTGGTAGATTGGGAACTGCAACAAGCACAAAAGTCCAGGAGCAGCCAAACGTCAACATAATTTGTATCCGAGCTTGTCACGGTCTTGTGCGGTCGAGCATTGAGTGAGGTGAGATGTAGACAATAGTTGCTGTCTCTTATACACATCTAGATGTGTATAAGAGACAGGTGGCAAACTGTTTCGTCGGAGTTTCACCGACTCATCAGGGGGCTGAACCCTCAACAGTCTGCAGAATCCCCTAACTGATTACACTGTGAGCGATAATCCACCTGAACCCTCAAAAAACAGTCTGCAGAATCCCCTAACTGTTAACACTGTAGTGCTAATCCCCCTTAACCCCCGCTGTGGTTAAGCATCAACGACTGCCCAACAAGTGATACCCTAAGGCCAATGTTCCTATCAACGCTGCGGACGGTTCCAGCGCAAAGAGAGAAATCCTAAAACCGGGTCTGCGAAAAAAAAAAAGAAAAAAGTTGTGCACCATTGCAGACAAATCAACTTTATTGGCTAAAAGGTTGCTTCCACCACAAGTCTGGCTTAAAAGGCGTGGGACATTTGTTATAATGAGCCTGGAAAAACTCTGAAAATATAGGGCTCTGTTAACCATCTATCTCTCCACCAGATCCCTCAGGAAATACTAAATTGTGTGTTCAGAAGAAGGGTACACTTCTAAGGCCCCGCAATAATCGGCGCACCATTGGTTTTCAAAATTTGGGTCATTGAAAAACATTCATCCGACCTCGTGGTTAGCGAGTGCTGTGCTGTCCACAACGCATTATCTTCCTTTTTCTTTTTTCTTTTTCTTTTTTGAACATCAGTCCGGTACCTATTCCCCCGGCAAGTCAAATTCAAATACATAGTAGTATACACACTCATGCTCCCTTCCGTTTGGTCGAAAGATCCCTGATCAGCATTGATCGCTCTCAAGTAAGGAGGATTGACTGTCAGCTTGGCCTTCTCAAATATTCCTCTCAGGCTCCCCCTACCATAGGGGCCTGCTAGATAGAGCTTTTGACATAACAAGAACCGCGAGAAGAGTGTGCGTTGTTGCCGATTCGCCTTATTTGAACGGAAGAGACAAGCCTTCTAAACGCCAAGGGGATCAGATCTGGCGTCGTCTTCATCCTTGGTGAAGCCCGATACATCTTCTCTCCTTTCATCTTCGGTATCTCCGGGCTCCCCGTGTGTTCGGACGCGAATGGCTGATAGGGGTTGGATCCTCCTGTGCCTGGGTACTCCGTCGAACTGTTGACGTGTCAGAGTTCTGCCGTTCTTTCCATCTTAGGTTGAGCTTATTCAGCCCGGCCACTGTGACTTCCACCAACCATACCCGTTTAACTGTTGCGAGCAGTACCATCTGCTCAGTTTCCAGGCAAATGTTGCACCTAGCGTTTGATCTTTTTCCAGTGGCAGAGGATCTCTGCTTCGATCATCCCTTTGGCCGCAGCCCAGACCTTCTCCCTCTTGAGTTCTTGGTACCTCTTCCAGAGTTCTGCTGCATCTTTCCCTCCATATGGCCGACCGTGACCTTGCAGGTCACATCCGAAGCCAGATCTTTTCCGATTTGGTAGAGTTAGGGCGTACAGTAGCCCAGAGTAGCATTCTTTTGGACAGGGTGTTCTGGAAGACGAGAGGAGAAACGGCTGTCCCATAGTCCAGTAGCTCTCTTGCCAATACTCTGTGGCTTCTTTGTAGTTACCTCCTAGGCACTGTAACATGTCTTCCTGTTCTTGGTCTGAGACTCTGAGCAAACTATGGGCAGATCTCGAAAAGCTGTTCCGAACCTTTTTCTTTCTTTCTTCTATCATGTATGTAGCCACTGAGCCACCGGTAAGGTGGGGCATATGTTGGGCCTCGCTCCGCTACTCTCAACATGTGCAAAAAGAGATTGAATCTTCCGCTAGAACATGGAAGGATACACCTCCATGATTTTTGTCTTTTGTGCATGTCGCGAGATAGTAGTGCAGCGAGGCCCGCTAGGAGCCATCGCATGCTTCTTCTCATTTTAACTGGTCTTATCGTCTTGTAATAACTACTAATTAAGTTTGTATTTATTCCACGGAAGATCTTTCAGATCTGGGGTGCTTCAGCGCCGATTCACTTGTTCCACCTTCCCTTGATCGCTGGTTCTGGGTTCACGGCCACCCCAACCGCCCGTTGATTTTCATTTCTGATGCTAGTCTGAAAGCTTCTTACCAGAGCTGCCATGGACGAGTTGTACCCCCTGGCCTCGAATGAATTTGGACCGGGGGTGCAAAAGCCGATTCAGCTACCGCGTTAACGGCTACCCCAACCAGTAGGTACTGGGGGTTTAACCCCGTTGATTTTCATTTCTGATGCTAGTCTGAAAGCTTCTGACCAAAGCTACGTACAGCATGGACGAGTTGTACCCCCTGGCCTCGAATGAATTCGGACCGGAGGGGTAGGCCAACGGCCACCCCAACCGGTAGGTACTAGGGGTTTAACCCCGTCGATTTTCATTTCTGATGCTGTAGTCTGAAAGCTTCTGACCAGAGCTATGTAGGAAATGGACGAGTTGGCGGCTCGAATCACTTCACCATCAGGTCATCTGCGAACATTATAACTGTAGGAAATGAAAAATGGCGTGCAGATCGTACATTCATTTCGGGGAGCCTTCGTTGGATATATAAACTTATAAAGGCTAAAAGAGCATTATCCCCTTTTGTTTGGTGATTTGTGATTTTCAGATTTTGTGGGGGGGACGGATGTTGATGAAGAAGCATTACGGAAATCAAGGTTTTTTTGTTCCCTATTGTTCCGTGTTTTTTTTAACCTTGATCCTCGCCTGGTTATATATATGTTGCCCAGCTACCATCTGCCACTGAACACACTGCATCCACATTTCGACTGTATAGGACCCGAAAGGTAGCTTGTATACATTCATAATCAGGGTACATTTAACGGCTTTCCATAAAAGTAGGGGCGATAACCCTCCCATTTATTTGAAAAGAAAGTTCGCATTAAATTGAAAATGCTAAAAATAAATAAAAATTATGGCATACCCTCCTAAGCTACCAGCTGGGTCGCCCAGGTCACCTTATTTTCCCAGGCGGCCCGACCGTGCAAGGACCACGGAAGGCGCCAGCAAAAAAAAAAAATTAAAAAAATCCAAAATTTGCAAAAAAAAAAAACATGTTGTGCAGAAAAATAAACTGAACTACTTTTGACTCAGGGTCACATCAAAATTCTTTACTGAATTAAAAATAAATAAATAAATAACAAGTCGGTGAAACTCCAACGAAAGAGTTTGTCAAAGCCCCTCATTCGTTGTCCTCTTCTCCCTCTTGTCCCTCCCTCTCTGCCACCTACGGTTTACCGTAGGCAGTTCAGTTTGACGTTTATAGATTTGACCGATATATGTATCGCCAAACAGAGCTCCCCAGTAAACCGTAGGCAGAGAGGGATAATATATATATATGTATATATATATCGTCACAAACAGAACTGCCCGGTGAACCGTAGGCAGAGAGAGAGAAGAGGACAACAAACGATATATACATGTATATATATATATTGCGCCCGGCTGAGCAAATGCTCCAGGGCCAATCTAGTAGCCTAGTGTGAGACCACCGAAGTTGAATACAGGGTCCCTCTATAATAGTCTATATGCTTACAATCGCACTCCAACCCCATCTATATGCTTCAGCGCCCCTAAGGTGAGATCACCAAATCCGAAGACAAAGCTACCAGGAGCTTTTGAACAACAAAAAAGACCCTCTTTTTTTGGCTTTCCCAGGTGACACAGGCCATCCACTGGTAGCCACAGTCGATAGAGTATTGTTGTAACCTGATCGGTCTTTTCATCTGTATATATTATAGACTATAGAGTGTATAACCAAAATATGTAGAGAGAGAGATCGAAATTGGGGTCCCAATGCTTCATCTAAGCGGTCATAAGTGATGTAGTGAGGCATCATTTTTTCGGACAGAAAACACCCGAAGGTGGCTAACCCCCCCATTCATCACAGAATTTGACGGTAAATGATGCAGAGGCCAACTGACCTTGATGATGCAAAGATGAGCTATTGTTAAATGGCCAAACAGAGTAGAAGATTTCTCTTTAGTTTCAGCCGAGCCTTCCACAATGGACCTAGATTTTCACAAAAAGACACTCTATTACTCATGATGACTACACACAAAAACACACAGTAAAAAACACATGGTAAAAAACACATGGTAAAAAACACATGGTAAAAAACACACATGAACATACATGTTATTTCCCTTCGGTCAGGGTGAACACAACCCAAGGCTCACATAACTTGGCAGCAACACAATGACGCTGCACATGAACATGCGTGTTATTTCCCCTCTCAGTGTGCACACGCCGATGCACACACCGAGGAAGACATGACATCTGGAGTACCACAGTGCATTCACCCCCACTTCAAATTGAGCTGATCAAAATCAGTGCGCACACTGAGAGGGCATTTTATCAACAAAGTTTTAGATAATTGCAATCATTGAGCACCTGGCACCACCTCTCTCTCTCTCTCTCTCTCTCTCTCTCTCTCTCTCTCTCTCTCTCTCTCTCTCTCTCTCTCTCTCCACATACTTATTATAAACAACGACGCATCCACCTCGCCTACCTGTTTTCCTACCACAGATTCGAGAGCACGCCGTCATGGCTTCACGCAACAGAAATATAATGGCTGATTATTCCAGTGGCAGTTCTCTGACCGGTCCCCTTCATGGTGAACCTGAACAAAAAATGTCCATAGCGTGCAACTGACATTCAAAGCAAACTTCTCTCTCTCTCTCTCTCTCTCTCTCTCTCTCCTCGTGATCCCACAATCCCTAGAATACAAAACCAAATCCAAAGGAACTCTCCCATGATACCCTAAAACAATTTCCAACTGCTGGCGAGCAGCGACACGACACGAACATCTGAACACAAGGCAGCTGGAGAACACCTGGCGGAAACTTACGCCTGTAAAATACTGTCCGCTGCCTTGGTGTTAAAACAACAAACACCTGCAATCTACATGCATGCAACAAGGTATAAAATTATAAATTGCAAGTCACTAACCTGATTCTCATTTCTGGAAAAGTTGCTTTCAACTCCTGCACATCCACAGGCAATCGCATGCGATCTGAACTTACGAGGGCTGGCAACTTGACATGCTGACTTGGACATATCCTTCCGCCTTCCTGCAGTCCATCCTTGCCTTGAAATGATTGCGCATTTGCCAGCAGAAACAGGGCCTACACATATCATCTGACAAGCTCTCAGGCTCTTTTCTACAAGATCCCAGACCAGAAATCAGTCACGTGAAATCACCGGTTATTATTGAACTACCTGAAGAGCATCTTCAATTCCTCAATCCTGGCCGATCGTACCTCCTGGTCGGTTAACGCACCATTCACAAGTCGCTGTTTCCTTGCTTGCACTTGCTGCATCCTCTCCTCCACTGTGCCCTGCACCCAATTCCAGAGGCACAACTTAAGAACTCCATTTTCTTCTGTCTTCAAGGCAAAAAATTTAAAAAAAAAACTGAACTATTTCTTTATTTGTTCATGCACTCCTTGTTCAGATGCCATGCCAAATTGCCAATCATCTCTGTCACATCTCGATTTTAACGGATGCCTTGACGGACTCATATCAGTAACTGTGTCCAACATCTCTCTCTCTCTCTCTCTCTCTCTCTCTCTCTCTCTCTCTCTCTCTCTCTCTCTCTCTCTCTCTCTCTCCATATATATTTGGTCGGTACTCATGTAAACGCCATCGGGGGGTAGGCTAGGGCGAACTGGGGTAGGCAGAGGGAGCAGATAGCAAAGGTGGGAGTGGCGGGAGGCAAGGTTGCCAGCCCCCGGCCCCCAATCCCTGACCCCTGGCAGGGTCCGGGCCTGGGACCCCTAACCACAGGGATTGGGGGACATAAAAGTAATAAGGAAAAAACAACTGGTGGATGTGCTGCAGCGGTGACCTCCGAGGAGGCCCTTTCCCCCCTTCCAGTGAATGGGGACCTACCTGCAGTCCCCAAGGGCCACAGGCCTGGGGTTTCCCACTCCTTGCCGGGACACAAGGGGAGTGGGGCGGCAGGGGTGGGGGGGGGGGGGGGGGGGGGGGGGGGGGGGGGGGGGGGGGGGGGGGGGGGGGGGGGGGGGGGGGGGTCTCAAATCACCAGTACCTTTTCCAGATATCGCTGCAGTGTCGCTGTTGCCTGGGGAGACCTCACACAGTCTTCAGCCGGAAGACTGCTCAGACAGTGCAAATGCTTATAGCTCTTGGGAGGCTCACACATTCCCTCTCTGCACAAGGTCCACATCACGGGCAGGCCCAGTCTGTTGCTCAAGCCAGTCTATACGGCTTGTCCTCCTCTCTAACCTTGGAGCCTGGCAAAAGGGGCAGGTCCCAAGGAGGAGACTTGAGGCACTGAGGCTATGACCTCGCTTGTACAGTACTAATACCACTGAAGGACAGAGTTGCGCCCCTTTTCAGATGGTGTGAGTCGTAGCTGGGGACAGTATTGACACCCATGCACCGAGCTCATGGCCAACTTCAGAGTGCAAGACCCATAACCCGGAACAGTATCAGAAGAACCAAGTCACAACCTAGCTCGGACTGGATGAACTGATACCAGGAACAACGCTGAAAACTCGGGCTGCATGAACTGAGGCCAGAAAACAGCACGCTTGCATATCCAGTTTCGCGTAGCTCAGGACGCATGAGTTGTAACATAAAAAAGAAGTAGAAAAATAAGTCACCACTTGGCTCAGGCTCCATGAACTGATACCAGAAAGCAGCACACATGCGCTCGAGGTTCACCCGGACTAAGGCCACGTGAGCTATATATAGCCCGATGCAGTATTAGGAAAAATTGAGTAAAAACTTGCCTCAGACCAGATGAACTGATACGGGCAACAACCCTAAAACATGAAAGGATTCACGCTGCAGACACCCCCGTCCCGGTCCTAGAGTCCCAAAGTGTCCCAGTCCCAGGCTGCCCCAGTAGGATAGGCCGTAGGGTCTGTAGTCCAAAGCGTCGTAGGTTGGAAGGTGTCAATACCGAAAGTAGAAGTCTGTCCGGTACCCGACAAGAAAAGTGCAGAAGAGTCCAGTCCAGGCCCACAGTTCCAAGTCCAATTTGCAGCATGTCCAGGAAAAGCAGGAAGGTGCCGGACCGACAAAATGTTTGCAGCAGACAGGCCGCGGCCAGCCAGTACCTGCCTGAAGCAGGCCAAGCCAAGCCAAGCGAAGGGAGCGAGGACCTATATCTAGTTGCTACAGTGCAGCGGCTCATCACTTGTTCAATTGCGAGATGCGGAAGCGCTGCTGCTGCTTCTGCGTTAAGGCAACTTGGGCACTGTGCGCCTGAAGAAGAAGGCGCATGAGAGACACTCCATAGCTAGGGTAGAGATACAGCAGGTGGACGGCGGCCATAGCCGCCAAGGTGTAAGGCTTACCTGAGTGGGTGTATCCAGGGTGACGACCTAGGCTAGAGAGAGAGGGAGGGAGTGAGGCAGAGAGAGCCA